CTTCTCTGTACAACAATGTCTTTTTATTTTAACTGCTTCTAAGATTTTTCTCTCCATTACTGGCTTTAGGTAATTTCATGGTGATATTCCGAGGTGCTGTTTTTTCATGTTTCTACTTACATTGTTGAGTCTCACATTTGTGTTTACAGTAATCAGTATATGTGGCAAGTTTTCAACCATTATTCAATGATTTCTTTCTGCCTGGGTCACCAGTTGCATGTATTCTAGGTTCAGTGAGTATATTTTCTTCATTTTTATTTTCAGTCTTTTTCTTCCCTCAGTATTTCATTTTGAATGGTTTCTATCAAAATATTTTCAAGTTCTTTTCTTTTTCAGTAATGTCTAATCTGCTGTTAACACTATGTAAGTGTGTGTGTGTGACGTGAAAAGCCTCAGACAAAGATTTTATACTCTCCAGAATTTGCCCTGGATCTTCCTAGATTAAAAAAAATTTTTTTCCATATCTTTGTTTACCAAGTCCATCTCCTTTTGCTTTTAATTGAATGTAGCGCCTATAGTTGTATTACTTTCAAAATCTCTGATTGGTCATTTTCTCATCATGGTCATTTTTAAAACTCTTCCACTTGATTTTTCTTCTCCTTACTATGGGCCATTCATTCTTGCTTCTTTTGGATGACTGAAAATTTCAGTCCAATGCCATTTTTGAACCCTATCTTATTGGGTGCTACATATATTTTGATTTCATGTCAGTTTTTTTTTTTTTTAATTGGCAGGGCCTGGGCCTGCACAATCACCGAGTATTTTTCCACTCTGACTCACAGGTAAAGGAATAATTCCTGCTCTGTACAAGCTTTGGTGTTCTCCCCTTATCTGTTCGTCTTCCCTGGCCTTGGGTATCTTCCTCACAAGTGTATGCTGATCAGCTGCCTCCTGGAGGGGGATCTTCTGCAGATCTCCACGGCTCTTTCTTTCTCTACTCTGGTTTCTTCTGTCTGGTGCTCTGCTTCCATTTCTAGCTGCTTTGACCTTCCTAGCCTCCCAGTTCTAGTCCCTGAACTCAGGGTCTGCCTAGCTTTTCTGAGGTCCCCTACTCTGCACAGCACCATGACAACCAAGGCTCTCTACGGCTCAGCTCGCTTGATTCCCTTCTCCTATTATGTCCAGTGGGTAAAAGCCAAATATTATATTTGCTCAATTGTTCCTGATTATTGCAGACTGGACAGTAAATTCAGTCTTGTTCCATCTTGTCTGGTTAGACTGGATTACTACAAATTATTGTTCTGTTCATAAAGCTGCTGAAGGTGTCACCTGTTTCCAAAAACAGTTTTCATGCAGTAACCTGAAACCCCTAGCATAGAATCTGCATTAACAAATCAGTCACCCTTGTGCAACTAGGTGTTACAGAAGAGTTGCCTACAAATGAATTTTTAAAAGGACTGTATTCCTCTCTGGTTTACATTTACAAATTCCTGTGGTGCTCTCTTTACTTCATTTCCTTTTACTTTCTTAGGTAGTGATTCAAACCCTAGGGCTTTTCTCTATCTCTGCCCCTCCTTCCTTTTTCTTCGTTATCATCTGTAATCTGTTTACAAAATTTCATGACCCTTTGGGATTAGAATTCACCTAGTCAATATGCAATCCTCAAGTACTTAGATGTGAGCTTGCTGCTAAGGTACTTAGCAATTTGAGAGAAAACAAACTTGGCTTATCTGACATCTAGCAGATTGGGAGTAACATTTATTTTCCCTATACATTAACTTCATTTTGTACTTCATAAATATAACTATGATTCCTCAACTTACAGTTAAAAAGACTGAAGTATTAAAATGACTTGAAGTCTGAGTGGAATTTGCTATACTTTAGCCATTATCCCAAACTGAAGAGCAAACTCTAAGGAACAATAGACGTTAAGAGTAGGAAAAATTTGAGATAGCTCCTGAGAGACAGGAGGGGACCCTAAAGTAGGTTGCCAATGAGCCCTCTTCTCAAAGGAAGTTTTATAGAGCAAAATCACAAGGTATGTATAGTGCGGATCAAAACCATAATCAACCAGTAAGATTACAAGTATAGCCACCTAGGTAATATTGATCCAACAGGGAGGCAGGTAGTATAGTCTTTATTACTTTGTTTATCCCTTGGGGAGGCATGTACATGGTCATTGGTCTTTCTCTTGAGGCCTGGCCTTCACGGATGCTCCTGTAGCCACAACTGTAATGTGCTTTCATGTGCTGTACTGACACTCTGGAGGGCCTTGCCCTGACTTCCTACAATATTTTTTACCTATTATATTATGATTTACAAATAAAAGTAATCAAGTCAAGCTAATGAACATGCTGTTACCTCAAATACCATTTTTTTTGGTGAGAACATTTGAAACATACACTTCAAAATCCCTGTTATTAGAAATATTCACCACGCTATGTAAAAGAGCTCACAGGAAAGAAAATTTCCTAACAGAGGTGTTGTATTTTTCAAGCGTTATTTTTTTACTCCTCATTTTCCTCCTTGGGGGCTCAGCTAGTCTTACAGAAATTATACCGTGCGGCCTTTTGCAGCCAGTGCCTCCCCTATCCTTCATAAATTCTGTAGTGCTACAGACCTCATAAAAGGTCAGCTCACATATATACACACTGACAGCTAGCCTCAGCCTGGAGGTGACACGAGCTCACAGTTCACGCAAGGAAATTTAGAGGCGCAGGCACTCGCATCGCAAGCTCAGCCACACACCTGTCCGCGAGCACACATCCTACACCGATCCTTTCGGGCACAAAGGGGTCCGCCCCGCCTCGCCCCT